TCCTGTCCCACACACCCACCTGCTTCTCTTGTCCCACACACCCCTGCTTCTCCTGTCCCACACACACACCCCTGCTTCTCCTGTCCCACACACCCACCTGCTTCTCTTGTCCCACACACCCCTGCTTCTCCTGTCCCACACACACACCCCTGCTTCTCCTGTCCCACACACCCACCTGCTTCTCTTGTCCCACACACCCCTGCTTCTCCTGTCCCACACACACACCCCTGCTTCTCCTGTACCCCACACACACACCTGCTTCTCCTGTACCCCACACACACACCTGCTTCTCCTGTACCCCACACACACACCTGCTTCTCCTGTATCCCACACACACACCTGCTTCTCCTGTACCCCACACACCCCCCTGCTTCTCCTGTACCCCACACACACACCTGCTTCTCATGTCCCACACACACACCTGCTTCTCCTGTACCCCCCCAACACACACCTGCTTCTCCTGTACCCCACACGTGCCCTCAGACCAAGGCTGTTTGTCGTGTCCAGCTGGTTTGCAGAGTTCATGTACCACCAAGTTCCTCATCGCAACTTCTTCACCTTTTGCTGTGCTTCAGTCTGACTATTTTTTCTCTAGGACACAAAGAGCGCACATAAAGAACTATTAGTTGAAGGGTATAAGGATATAGCAAATTTATACTTTTATAACCAAGAACCAAGGACCATCAAGATGGTTAAAGGGCTGGAACCCTTCTCATACAAGGACAGGCTGAGAATCGTGATTGTTCGGCCTGGAGAACAGAACACTGGGGTGACCTAATTGTGGCCTTCGAGTCCATGAGGGGAGCCTACAAGCAACAGTGAGACTATTTACAAGGTCATGGAGTGACAAAACAAGGGCAATGGCTTCACACTGACAGAGGGCACCTTTAGAGTAGAGATTAGGAAGAAATCCTTCCCTGTGAGGGTGGGGAGGCCCTGGCACAGGTTGCCCAGAGAAGCTGTGGCTGCCCCATCCCTGGAAGTGTCCAAGGCCAGGCTGGATGGGGCTTGGAGCAACCTGGGCTAGTGGAAGGTGTCCCTGCCCATGGCAGGGGGTGGCACTGGATGAACTTTAAGGTCCCTTCCAACCCAAGCCATGCTGTGACTGATAACAAATGAACTGCTGCTTAGCTTAGCTGTTAGCATGTGTGCGTACCTGGCCAGCAGTGTGCCCAGGTGGCCAAGAAAGCTTGTATCAAAAATAATGTGGCCAGCAAGATGAGGGCAGTGCCTGTCCCCCTCTACTGGGCTTTAGTGAAGCCACTCCTCGAATTCTGGATTCCATTTTGGGCCCCTCACAAGATAGACATTGAGCGTGTCCAGGAAAAGATCTGGAGCAAGAGTCCCATAAGGTGCTGGGGGTGTTTAGCCTTGAGAAAAGGTTTTTTAAAAAGCAGCACCTCCTTGTTGGTGCCCCTGCAGCTCCCCTGAGGCAGGTGGGTCTTAGTACTGGGATAAAGATATTTTCTCCCCTCATTCACAGCACAGGATGGAAGGTACTATCTACCTCTTACCTACTCAGTGGTAATTATACTAAGTGTAGACACATTGTACTGATTGTGTCACGGGCTATTTTATCATGTACCTCCCTAATAATCCCAGATTTACTGAATTTATCTTCATAACATGCCTATGAAGAAAGGCTACAAATGGATTGAACAAAAATGTGAAGAAAAAAACCAAACCCTCTGTATTTTGGGGAGATGTAAGGGCTTGATTTGGCAGAGCTTCTAATACTATACATCTTCCTGGGCCCAGCTCCCACTGACTTAAATTGCAGCTGCAAAGTTCAGGTCTTCTCTAAATCAGACCACACAATTTCAGGATATGCAGTCAGAAAATCAGTAATATACACACAGGAGCTGCAGGGAGAAGTGAACTGTCCAGCAGCACACAGTCGTTGCTGAGGTATTGATAAAACACTAGTTGAATAAACAGTGGAAAAAAATGCTCTTAGGCAAATAAAATTCCTAAATTGCTTAGAACAGATGAGAGCTGGTTAACTTCTGTACTACCTGAATTAGACCTGGGTGGTGTCCCTGGACAGCAGCTGATCTCGGCAGAATTTAATTATTTTTACTCCGAGACGCTCATGCCCTTCCTGAAATCCATTCTCCTCCTGTATATATGTACCATCCCTCTGTCACAGGTAAGGACAGGCAGATCCTCCACGCAATAACTTCATTCACTAAATAGCTTTGATTAATTCCCAGAATGTGTAATTCACCAGGAATGCTGAAAAGCTCACACCGTTAAACGTCTGTTGAAAAGAGGATACATATGAACAAGGACAAATTAAGATTGCCCTACCAGCCTGACTTTGGACTTACAAAATATAATGGTCTTTTGAGAATAGTTTCAGGTGTGTTCAAAGTTTCTAAAAACGCAAATTATAAAGCTCACAGAAATTCCATCCTACTGAATGAGGTTTCTACCTGCATAAGTCAGCAGTTCCTGTCAGTGTTCAGCAAACACATCCGTAACAAATTGAACTGTACAGTATATCTGTACCGCACACTAAGGTACTGTACAGTACCATCCACTACAAAGCCCAATCACCACCAGAACGTAAAATATACATTTTGCAGTATGATTTTAAAAGACAGAGCAAAAAAATTAAAGAGCTGTGATCCACAAAATTCCATTCCAGGCTTTTAACGAATTATTATGGATTTGTCAGTGATGGTTAAAACTTCCCTCCCTTTTCTTCTTCTTCCTAATTGTCCTGCTTCCCATGCAGTTCCACCACGCTTCTGAGCAATGCAGAGGGAAAGGTCAAGCTCAGTCAGCCTGGCTGATGAAATGTAGCTCCTTTCCGTGCCCCGCAGAGCTCCAGCAGCCTCAGAGCAGGGCTGTTGGTGGTGCCCACTGCTCTGCAGGGCCCGCGTCCCGCCAACCTCCCCATCGCCACCTCCTCGCCTTTTGCTGCACTTTGGTCTGACTACGAATTTTTTCTGCCTAGGACACAAAAAGTACAGGAAAGTAAGTATTACCTGAAGGGTGTAAGGATACAGAAACAGTGATACTTCTTACAAACAAGAACTAAGGGCAACGAAGATGATTAGAGGGCTGGAGCACCTCTCGTACGCGGAAAGGCTGAGAGGTGGGATTGTTCAGCCCGGAGAAAAGAAGGCTTTGGGTTCAGCCCGGAGAAAAGGAGGGTTTTTTAAAAGAACAGCCCCTCGGCGTTGGCGCCCCGGCGCTGCCCCGCGGCGGGCGGGCGGGCGGGCGGCCCGGGGGGCGGAGGGCGCGGGGCGGGCGGGCCCTGCCCCGCTCGGGGCCGCCCTGCCCGGCCGAGCCGCGGCCTCCGTGCCCCGCGCGGAGCTGCCGGCGCGCCCATGGCTCCCCCCGCGCTGCCGCTGCTGCTGCTGCTGCACCTCGCCGCCTGCTCCAAGCTCAACACCCCCAAGGTGCTGCTCCCCTTCACGCGCGGCACCCGCGTCAACTTCACGCTGCAGGCCAGCGAGGGTTGCTACCGATGGTGAGTGCAGGTGCCGCCGCCCTTTGTCCGCCTCTCCCCCCCGCAGGCACCTGCGGCGGCTCCTCAGCCCGCGGCGGGGCCTGAGGGCTCCCGGGGGAGCCGGGCCCTCCCTCCCCGTGCTCACAGCTCTGCGGCCGGGTTTGGGGGGCCCAGCAGTGTGGGAGCGGACATGGGATAACCCCTGAGGGGAAAGGCTGTTTTTTGTGCAGTGGGGGTTAAACCCGCTGCAGAGGGGCAGTGTGTGGAGGCCGGGCCCTGACGGAAGGTCCCTGCTGTGGGGGAGCTTCCCGCCATGGCTCCGTGCCCGGCCTGCGCCTCACACCGTGTGCGCCCACACACACCCCTGCTTCTGCTGTCCCACACACCCCCCTGCTTCTCCTGTACCCCACACACACTTGCCTCCCCATGTACCGTGCCCACCCTGCCTCCACACACAGCCCATGTGCCCATCCTGCTGCCTCCCACACCCGCTGTGCCACCCCACACGTGCATCCCCGTGTGTGTGGGGACAGCTCCCAGGACCCGTGTGCTGCTGGTGAGGAGATGCCCTTCCCTCGCTGTGGTCAGGAGTGAAGGTCTGACCGCTTGGAGCCCTGCGTATGGACATAAAGGAGTCGGAGCTAAGCTGGGAGTCTCTCAGTGCTGCTCTCAGTGTAGGTAACAAACACCCTGAGCACATCCATCACCTGGGAACAACAAAGTCAAGTTTGAAAAGATGAAAGCTCTCCCGGTGTTCTTGTGGTGCCGCGCACGTGGGATGTACTCCAGGAAGTTCTGGCTGGGAGCGCCTGTCCTGCCTCGCGCAGGGGAAGGCCGTGGTGGTGCTGAGCGAGGGGGCCAAAGGCAGATCCCACAGCATGTGCCAGTTTAGAAACTTCATGTCAGTCTTCATGTTAGACAAGTGTTGCCAACTCCTTGTCCTTCCTCCTCAGAATGGTAATTTGGATCAGTAATGAGCAGGAGGCAGCCACCTGAAAAAGTGGCAGTAGGGATAAGTTTAGGATGATACTTCCATATGTGCCAGATGGATGCATGTAGCAGTTTTCAGTTGTTTTCGTGGCTGGCAGTTACTGAAATACATCTTCCAGGGCTATGTTTTCACTCAGTTTATTTGCTTGGTGGTCCTGTGCTTCTCTAAGCTGGGTACAAACCTTTGCTCTGTGACATTTTACATAGTTGAGGGTGCTTGTGTGTAAGAGCAGTAATAAATTTTATCCAAAAGTCGACTGAATGGAAGTTACTAAATGAGCTGGAATTTAATTTTTAATGGACCATTTTACTGAAACTCTCATAAGTGTGGGTTTTTTCTTTTTCCTTACTCTAATCTTTAAAGACAACTGAGTCTCTAAAAAGATTTGGTTTATGTTGTGAAGTACATTGTATAAAGCCAAAAAACAAACTCTTCAAGCACTAATAAGATCTCAGAAGTGTGGACTGTCTGTGCTGGTTTGCCAGCGAGGTGCTGGGTGATGCTGGGCTGGCTGCAGCCATTCCCACATGTGCCAGGCACTATCCAGCTGTCAGAACACCTTTGCAAATCTCACTGAAATATGCAGATGAAAAGCGAAATGACTGTATTCTAGGGAAATACCAGATTTGGTCCACATTTGTATCTAATGCATATTTGTATTGCTAATGAGGGTGATTTGTGGCACTGTCAGCGCGTGTTAGACTGGTGCCAGGTGCCAGCAATGGCTCGTATCCTTCACACAGACGAGCTTCAACATCCTTTTCCATCCTCTCCCTCTGCTCTTCAAAGATTAATTTTGGTCGAGAATTGTGGAAACTATACCGAGCTCATTCTCTGTGTGCCGTCATTTTCTGTGCCAGAGTTGTTAATGTGCATTTATTCACTTCTGCTTTGCAGAGCCTGGCAGGATGTGGGTGGTAAAACTCAACGTGTGCTCAGCAAACGCTCGCTCGGAAGCAGGAGCTCTGTGTGACTGAGCAGCAGCAGCAGCAGAGCTCAGAGCTCGGGAGGTGCTCAGGTTGCATCTGGGGCTCTGTTTCCCTCCACATCCTTGCCCCTGCAGGCCCTGAGCTGGGGGGGTTTGGAAGGCAGTGACTTGGAGGGACAGGCGGCTCCACAGCATTTGCTGACAAGGTTGCTGTGCCTTCCTGTTAGAGCTGTCAGGAAGAGCTGTTACCGGAGGGGGGCTGTTAAACTGAAGAAGTGAGGAAGTCCCACATGTAATGGCTTCAGAAGTAGTTACTTTCCTCATATTTTCAAAATGATGGGTGGGTTTGTGTGCATGAAACCAGGGCTTTGGAATGGAAATGGGAAGATTCAGGCCCTTTGTGTCTGGAGAGGGGACTGAGGTTGTGTTATACCGTTGATTGCGAGTTTAGAGGTACCAATGAAAGCTGGTTTTGTGCAGCAGCATCTGACTTCAACAAACACTGTTTGAGGGCCTGCATTACTCATCTCAGACATTCAGAATTCATATCTGAGTGTCCAGTTTCGTGAAAATCAGTCTATGGCACGTTGTGACCTTCAAGTTTTCCTCTGAAAGCAGGAGATTTTCAAAGTGATTGTAGCAGTCTCTGAGAATTCCAGTGATTCAAAGGGGAAACGGTCAAGTTCTATCACCATCCCAGCAGATTGGGAGCAATGATAAAGTTACAAGCGTGGCTCTAAAGTATTTTCTGATTTTCAAGATGCTCGTGCCTTCTGGAGTTTGGGTTGTCTTTACGTTCAAATTATTTTTTGGAAAAGCTTTGTTTTCAAAGCATACAGTGTTTCCATCTGTAAATATTGTACATGGTACTATCTTCAGGGATAAAACACAGTGTGTGTGGATATATTTAGCATTTAAATTACGTCTGTATTTATCTGTTAATTACCTTAATCCAGAAATTACACCTGGAAGAATGAATTCAGCAGCAGAATTCTCTCCTTGATACCTGCCTTTGGAGGAGGGGAAGACACGAAAAACAAATAAACATTTTCCCCCGAGGTACACAGCATGGCTGGGTATTTATAGCAGAAATTACAGATATGTTTACATGTCTGTAACAAAATTTCATATAATGTAGAATTGAGATGCGTGATGAGAGCCGGTGGAAGGTCTCGGTTTCAGGAGTTGGCTTTGAGACATTCAACTGATTGGTTTGAACCGTTGAAGGGAGAGGTTTTGCTGTGTGAGGTTAGAGCTGTAGGAGGCTGTTCACAGGTGATAATGGCCCTGACCACTGCTGTTTGTTGCCAGTATAGCGAGGAGGAGTTAATCGCCACCTTAAATAAAAGGTGTGCTACTGAAGCCCTCACTGACTCGGTTACATCAGCCTGGTTGAGGAGAGGAGCACGGGCAGTGCTGGAGGGAGAGATCCAGGAGTGGTGGTTGAGCTGTGTGATGCACAGGTCCTTCCAGAGAGCACAAACCCAACACACAGCTGGCAGAGCTCATTGTCCAGCTCCTTGTCTTGTCATGTTTTTGACACTGGCTTGTAAATTGATCTTACTGCTCCGTGAGATGTATGCAGTGGCTTATGTGTTTTAAAAACGTGTGTCAGTAGTGCTGTTCGTTGAGGTCTGTTTTGCCGTGAGACCAATAGTCCCATCTCTGGCAGTTGTGGTGGTGGTTTGTGAGTTACCTGCTTTCGTTGCTGGGCACCCATGAAATGTTTTAAGACTCACTCTGTCTGGGTGCAGGTCTCATCTTAGTAATGGCACACGTGAGAAGTTTCAACAGAGTGGATAATTTGAAATAATGCAAAATGGGACATATGTGTTTGGCAGTAAATGCCATTTTTTAGTTTTCTAATTTGCAATCAGGCTAAGTTTATTTCAGAACAACTTGTGTAGACTGAGCTTTATTTATTGCATTCTCCTAGCTGGAAGGTGACTATCATTGGTGTGCAAGCTGTTTTCCTTCATGCACCTAGAAATGTGGTGAAAAGAAGCACTTATGGTAAAATGACTTTGGGCACCAGTTGATTTGACAAAATGTCCAAGTTTCAGTTGGGCATCTGTGTTGGATTTTGGGAACTATCAGCACTGGCTTAACTCTGCTTCCTTTGAAGTTAATGGGCATGTCAGCTGATCGCCAGTGTAAAATCCCAGGAGCAGAAGCTCCATCCTTGGCTCACTCTGTGCTGTGTGATGTTTCCTTTTGCTTTTAAAGCAGAACTGGATGGAGGATTCTAATTTTTTTTTCTTGCTGCTTTTTATTTTCCCAGTACAGTAAGAAACATCCTAGGAGAGGATTGAGTGAACAATAGAGACATAATCTGCCAGTGGGCTGTTAAAAATCCTGAAGAGTGGAGGGAACTCTGCCAGGCTCCCTTTCTGCCTTTTCTTTGGAATGGGTTCAGTTCCCATATCCTTGATTCTCTGGGAATCTGTTTTTTATCATACAACTACTGTTGCCCAAATGCTCTTTTGCCTCTTGTGTCACTTTTCATTTTTCTGTTAGTCCCAAGAGTGACTAGAAATGAGGTTCCTGGTGTATTGGTCAATCCAATCTTGCCAAGCTCCTGGAAACTTTTACTATTCAGTTTCCTTCTGGCTACATATCTGCCCATATATCTAATACAAATTCTAGAAGATCAAAGTCATTGACAGTCCTGGTGCAGCTCCACATAGGTGGATTTTTGCTGATTCAGTCAGTTGAGTTGAGTGTGAAAAGCTGGTAGAACAATATAAAATCTGGAGCAGTAAAAATCAGCAGAGAAGTGCTAGGGAGGGAAACAGTATCAGGTGCCTGATCTTTGAACCAGCTGATAAATAAATTAAGCATAATCTAGGGAGGTATTGACATGTGGTATTATAGAAGAGTTGATTAAAAAATGCAGGCATGGGTTTGGGGAGATCTGTAGATACAATCTTGGCACAGGGTTCTGTGTCTGGGGGTGGGGAAGGGGGATGGAAACCATGAGTGGAACAGAAACCAGTGAGAGGAGTGGCAGCCTCTCTGCAAGTGTCACTGACTCCTCAGCAAGGAGGGGTTTATTTGAGGGAAAGAAATACTGGGACTTTTGTCAGCTTTTTTCCCCCTCACCTCCTCACTCTTTTTTCTAGTGCTTCCTCCCTGCCTTGCTCTTTCTTGCAGAGGCTGGCATGGGATCCAGAGCTGGTGCCAGAAATGCTTCCCATTGCTGGCTGCTCGGGATCTAATTTTGACCTCTGACAGGCCCAGCTCTCAATCTCACACCCTGACGTGCTGCTGAAGAGCTGCTGTCATTGGAAGAGTCTTTGTCAGTTAAAGCCAAGGTTTCTTTTTCTTGCCCATCCAGGACACAGCAGTGATCCCAGAGTAGTGCCACTGGAGTATCCAGCCTGTTTGATTAGTACCTTCTCCTTTCTGTGCTTGGCCCTGCATCCAAACCGGAATGTGCTCTGGATATTGCTGAATGATAGAGGGCTCATCAGATGTGTAAATCACATATGCCCTGGTGTAAAAAGCAGGAGCCATACAGATTGTTTTTAAATGTAAATCCATAGTAAACCAAGCCTCAGAAAGGCCTATTTCAGTAAAATTTTTATTAAAAGAAGGAATCCAGCTGATATTCTACCTCCTATTTTAAAGTACTCTGAGAGGCCAAGTAGTGTCTAATCTCAGGTTCACTTCTGCAGTGACAACTAAGAGTTAATTGGCATTCAGTTGTAAAAGCTTGGAGTTCTTTTGTAATTGTGGAGTGCATGTAAGTTTGCAGTTAAAATTTAATTTTTGTTGATCTTTGCTTCTCCCTTTTTCTAATCTGAAAAGTATCCTGTAATTGGATTCAGCTTTACAACACTGCTATTAGTGCAAACTGCAGTGGTTTTTTATTACAATTCATAGCCAGATATTAAAAGAACAAATACAAACCACAGTGAAACCCCTGTTGTGTTGTAAACACAAACAGTTCCAGACTGTAAGAATGCAAAACCCTCAATAACAGAAAATCGAATGGCAGAGAATATTAAGCAATGTAAAGAGCTAAATAAAAGTCAATTCCATACTTATAATACTTATTGAAAAATACCTGCATGCAAAATAAGTCAGATCCACGTGCTCAGATTCAAAAGCTATCCAGCCAAGTACAGGAAAAGCCTTACTGGTTGTGAATGCTAATGTTGTTTAAAGAAGCTTGCTAAATGTTGGAAAACTGTTTTATGGCTGCATGAAAAGCTACAGGAAAATAAGTAATTGTTCACTTTTAATCTCTATAGAGTGAAGTATGCTAATAATATAGAACATCATGTTATTTTAGAAACAGTGTAAACCCTACTATAAAAAATAGGCACATATCTGTATACTATGCTTAGGTATATAGAATAGAATATAACGAACATTTTTCAGGTTTAAGCTTCTAATTGGTGTTTAAATTGCTCATTGCATACCGCTGTGGGCTGTTTTTCCTGGATCAGATAAAATACTGTGAAATTTCTGGGTCAGCGGTTGCTACTGTTGTTTTAAAATCCTTTAAAACTGCCCTTTATGTAAGCAAAACGTTGTTGGGAGCTTAAGGTTGGAAGCAGGATTTGCAGTTTCATTCCAGTTGCTACAAGGAGATTGGTCCGTGCTCACCTGGGCTGCAGCTGTGAACTCCCCCATAACTGGAGGTGTTGGGATGTGTTATTTTGTTAATGGATACAGTTTTAGTTAACAAGAAATGTATTTCTTCACTGGTGTGGTTGGTTGGTTCTGCCAGAAAGAGAAGTAGGTGAAACCCGTGTCTGGGCCCCAGGCATGTACGGCACTGCTGTTTGCTTGGAACTCCATCCTGCTCCTTGCTGGATTCCTCCTGCACGATTTTTCCCAGGTAGACACTTTTGAACATCCTCCAGAAGAAAAGTCTAAACCAATTCAGCTTCCCATCTTTCCCAGGAGGGGACCCAGTGCCCGATTTGGATTGCATTTACCAGAGAGTGCAGTGTTTTCATCGGAGGGAGAGCAATTCCCCAACAGCTTCGTCACAGTCAGTGCTACCTTTCATTGTTTGAATCCCTCAAAGGGCCCTTGTGAGAGCTGTGACCCTGCATCCCTGAGCATACTCAGGATCCCTGAGGACACAGGATCCCTGAGCACACCCAGAACCCCTGAGCACACCCAGAACCCCTGAGCACACCCAGAACCCCTGAGCACACTCAGGATCCCTGAGCACACAGGATCCCTGAGCACACAGGATCCCTGAGCACACAGGATCCCTGGGCACACCCAGGATCCCTGAGCACACAGGATCCCTGAGCACACCCAGGACTCCTGGGCACACACTGGATCCCCGAGCACACACCGGATCCCTGAGCACACACCGGATCCCCGAGCATACACTGGATCCCCGAGCACACACTGGATCCCCGGGCACACACCGGATCCCCGGGCACACACCGGATCCCCGGGCACACACCGGATCCCCGGGCACACACCGGATCCCCGGGCACACACTAGATCCCTGGGCACACACTGGATCACCGAGCACACAGGATCCCTGAGCACACACCGGATCCCCGAGCATACACCAGATCCCCGAGCATACACTGGATCCCCGAGCATACACTGGATCCCCGGGCACACACTGGATCCCCGGGCACACAACCAGGGCTATTTGGGGCTCTGGACTCCTCAGCAGCTCGGGGGTGCTGGCTCTGCTCCCCCTGCACAGTTCCAGGCTGGCCATGAGCAGGGGCTGTGAGAGGCATGTGGACCCAGTTCTGACACAGGGCCAGTCCCAGCTCAGCCCAGTGCACCCAACTGTCCAACATGTTGAGTGCCAGCTCGTCCCAGGCACAGGGGAACGTTCTGTAGACAGTTGCAAGGGGCATGGCCTGCTCGGGTATCTCACTTGCTCTGCATTTAGCCCTCAGATGCATATTGCTGCTCTAATTTCAAGAGGCTTAGTTTTTGATAACTCTAAAATGTTCTTTTCCTTGACATTTTTGGCACACAGTAGCAAGAGCTGGACTCCACATTGTAGTGCCCCAGACAGCTCAGTGGGTTTAGGGGAAGATGGTTTGATTCACTCTGGGCACTGTGCAGGAGAGACAACAAAATTCTCAGGAGGTTCAACAACAAACTTTTACTTGCAAACTTCAGAACATTGAGGTAGAAGAAGGTACTTGGCAAATTTTAAAACACAGTGTTACATCCTTCTGCTAAACAGACTAAATCTTTTTTTTTAATTTCTTGATTAAAAAAAATATTTCTTGTTTTCAGAGCCCCTGGCCATAGCAAACGTGTAATTGTGATGTTCTATCATTGGGGAAGGCTTCCAGTTTTTTCAGAACGTTGATTCAAACTTGTTTTGAAAATGCAGTTACAGGTGGTGAATGGAGCTTTAGCTACAAGTCTTGTACCTTCCCTTCAGTACAGTGTGTGTTTGTACTTGTTCCACACCTCGGAGCTGGCCAGCAGTCAGGCTCTGCAGCTGTGTTCAGTAGCTGGGTGCAGGTCTGGGCCGACTGAATTGCGTTCAGGGGTGAACTTGCTGTGGTGCAGGGAGGGCTGTGTTTGTCTGGGGTCTCTGCCCTGGGCTCTCCCCTTCTCAGCCTCACGTTTGCTGGAGTCCTGGAGGAGCTGTTGCCATCCAGCTCCTGCCACAGTGGGGTCCTGCCCGTGGAACATGCCCCGTGTGGATTGTTGCGGGGGTTTCCAGCCAGCCCCTGGTTGCCGTGCAGCAGTGACTGACCCGCCATCCCTGCAGGTCCTCCAGCCGGCCGGAGGTGGCGAGTGTGGAGCCCCTGGGCCAGGACGAGTGTTCGCAGCGGGCGCTGGTGCAGGCACGGTCCTCGCAGCCCACCCGGCTCACCAGCATCATCTTCGCCGAGGATACGGGTGAGTCCTGACGGCTGTAACTGCACCACTTGCTGCTGGGCGTCCTGCTGCCCTCCAGGAACGGCACAAACGAGAAACTTCCCTTCATGTGCCCAGTCATTTTAGACTTTCTGTGGGTGTAGGTTTTAACTTCTGTTCGTTAAGGGCCTCAGATAACTGTTAATGGTATTAATGTTACATCCAGGAGAAGAGTAATTCGTAAAAAAAATAAAATAGAGGGGGTGACTGAAATATGCAATATACTGAAAATTGGTAATGCAAACTCAGACGTTTTGCATTTCAAAAGCTGGACATTGCCTTTCATGTGTGACAGTGTCTGTCAAAAATGTACCTGGTTAGATTTTATAGGGACAGACAGAACCAGACAGTCAATTAGTGCCTTGCAGTCACGCAGTGAAGGAGTTGATGGGGGTTGATGGTCTGTGGGTAAAAGTCATTAAGCTCTCTGGGCCATGAACCAGGTCTGAGCACTGCACAAACCCTGCCTGTGTCCTGAGAGACACCACCTGGAAGTGGTGGTGGAGATGGAAATCAGAGCTTCTGAAGATTTAAGGGAGCTGCTGTTCTTGCTTTCTTAGCCCCCATTGCACCGAGTTTCATCCTCAAGGCCATGACACAGTTTCAGTTCCTTCAGTGTGGGGTTGGTGTCACTGCCTGAACGGGAGGTGCCTCTTGCCTTGGTGGTGCCCTCGGGGAGCACGTGCAGTGCTGGGATCTCAGGGGCTCTCTGCCGTCTCTTGCAGGGACTGGGCAAGTGCTTCGCTGTGATGCCATAGTTGATCTAATTCATGGCATCCAAATTGTGTCCACAACGAGAGAGCTCTACCTTGAGGATTCCCCCCTGCAGCTCAAAATTCTGGCTTTGGATTCGGAAGGTAAGAGATGTGGTGGTGGGAGATTAAATCTCTGTTGAAAGGTGTAATTGTCTGATGTGTGCACTGGTTGTATTTGTGACACAGCTGATTGACTGAAGCCAAGTGGAGTAATTTAAAGGGAGTTCTCTGCAAAATACACCGGGAAGTGGTCTGTTCTTTTTTCTTTTTTTCTTTTGAGCTGCAGTAGTCTAAAGAATTTTGCAAGAGGACATTTTATCTGAGCCCCATCAGCCATCAAACAGCAGGTTCAGAGATGATGTTGAAGATCAACCACCTATTGCTTAATTACTATCCCTTAATTACTGCAAAAACTCACTTTTGGGAAGTACCATTTAGACTCATAAGAGTCAGTGCCTTTGGACTGAAGGCATAATTATTTAACTGGAGCAGAATTTTCTTGCTTTTCATACTGTCTTCAGAAGAAGAACCATGACCTGGTACAAATTTCATGCTCAGGTTTCAACAATGAATTTTTATGCACACATGACACACAAAGCAAGTGATTTTTAGGACAACTGCTGGGCTGAAAGCAGAAGGTTGAATTGTTTGTGTTGGGTACTTACTGAGCCCATCCTACACTGTTCGTGACGCAGGAATGGCAGGTGAAGTGTGGTGATATGGTAATAATGAAAGGTAAATTTGGGGTTTATCCTGTGTGTAGCAGCGGGTTCTTGGCTTGGTGTTTGTGCAGACTCTCAGGTGTGCTCTGTGGGAGGTTTGCCTTGGAAGCTGCTCAGGGCAGAGTCTGAAGAGCAGCAGTGGCTCGGAACCCACGGGAGTGTTTCATCTGCATGGCTGAAACAAGGTGTGGGTTACAAGGACTAAATTTCCCAATCTAAGTTTAGGGGCTCACAAAATCAGTTCCTTTTGACCCAAGTAACCTGGGGATCTGTCCTTGGGAGACCTTTGGAAATACTGGATTCTCAGTGGACTTTCTGGGCACACTTTAAAATAAAAACATTCAAAAGCAGCAGCGAGTTTACTGAAGAATATAATTATTCAGGAAAAGAGACTCTAGAATAAGGCACTTCTGAATCTTTTTAAAAAATATTTAGAAGGTTAAAAAATCAATATAAAATAATTCTCCAGCTCAATGAATATTGGCAGCAAATGTACTTAGGTTTGCTGAAAACTTGCACAAAGAACAGGTGTCAGGGCTGTTAGTGCAGCCTGAGTGAGAGGGAGGGAGAGGATGCTGTGTGTGAGCTGTTTGGGTATCCATGGTGCAGGGACATGGCCTTTTCCCCACGATGTAAAGTCCTTAATTAGACCCTGGGGATGTGCCAAGGAGGATTTGTTTGGGGCTGATGGCAGTTATTACATTTTAATCTGGTGTGGGTCAGACCACTCGTTAATGTTGATGGTTCTGCTCCTGTGAATATCAATATATGTTCAGGAATAGTTTTTTTCCTTATTTTCTTCCACATGTATAGGTATATTTATATATATATATATTCCAGTAATTTTTTTAAATAAATATATTCTAATTATTTTTCTTAAGGTGTATTTTTTTCTCAGTTAGATTAATGCAAATTGGTTTTTGTGCATGTTTTTAATAAGCCACTCCAAAGACAAACTCAGTCCTCAAATGCTACTTTTCAAAGATTGTTAATGCAAGAGAGGAAGATGATCATGGAGAACTTTGGCCAAATTAAGTGTAGAATGTAGAGGGGGGAAAAAGTCATGTTGTTTTCTTTTATGTGCTGAACTTTTGCTCAAGTTATTTTATTATGACTTAACTAGAGGTGAGTTAAACGAGAAAGAATTAAAAATGTGTGTTTGTATTTGTCTGGCTAAAACATGCATCATTAAAGTTAGACTTGAATGCATGTTAAATAATTGAGTTTCAATCAGTTTTATTTCTCTTGCCTTGTGTGTTTGGAGTTTTGTGTCTAAATTCCTGGCTCTTTGGGATTTGGAACTCTTTGCAGGAAGTTGTGTAGAAATGGGAGAAATAACATAGGCTGTGCATTGTGTTGACTGGTGGCTTAAAAATGGCATGACTTCTAAGCATAAGAATTAAGTGATAGATTTGCATTGGTTCTTTCTTTAGTAATATAAATTTGAATGTCAAAGGGAGTCATACAAATGAAAATATATTTTAAAATATGGTCAATATTGGGATTTGTGTTCTGTATTTATTTGTGCCAGTGGACACTGCAGTTCGCAGCAAGATTCATCTTGAAGATTGAAAGATCCTTCAGATTAGCAGCTCCTTATGCTTGAATGTGATTGTGTTAAACCTTTGTTTTCAGCCTGTTTATTCCCTTCTGTTCCTTCTTAACATTTAAATTTCTCAAGTTCTAGTAGCTCGCATTTTATGGAAAGAAGGTGCTCAGTCTGAGCTCTTGGAGTGAAGACCAACTGCTGTGGATAAGTCATGGTTGTGCTCATAACCAAAAGGACATTTGCAGTTCATTGGTGCTGTGAAATCAAGTTACCCAAATGGTGTCTCAGATCTGCATGTTTCAAAATGAAAGGTTGTTTAGCAGGATTTTTTATATATCTTGCTAACATCCGAGAAACAATAAGGCCTTTGTGGCCAGAGGGGAAAGGTGGTTTGTGCCTTAGGGGCTGGCAGGTGGAGGGGAGGTGGGCACACCTGCACTTACCTCTTTGTGGGCTTTGTGGAAAGCGTCCACTGGAATGTGGTGTTGCAAAAGGTGAAAAGACACAATTGGATTGTGGTTTTTAACTAAATACCAGTGGCTCTTCTTGTAGGGGTAAGATTGAGAAATTTCCTAGGGGAATAAGTCATGGTGTATGTCCCAGGAAGCCTCTCTGCTTGTTCCATGGTTTTGTGTTAATGCCAGTGTTTGATTTGCAGGGAACACGTTCAGCACGTTGGCAGGGCTGGTGTTTGACTGGACCATAGTGAAGGACCCAGAGGCTGGAGGGTTCTCAGACTCCCACAGTGCCTTACGGTAAGGACGTTCCACTGCCCTCTGAACTTCAGCTCTGTCGGTTTGGGGTGTATAAACATTTCCCCACGTCCAGGCAGCTTACTGAGCTGAGGCCTAAAATAATAGTGCTTAAGAGTCAGTTGTTTCAGGTTGGTTTTTTTAGCAGTGCCAAATCTCTCCCTGTGTTATTTAACTGACAGTGTTCATGAGCAGCTCTGGTAGCTCTAATGGAACAGTTAGAAATAAATAGATGCAGTTGTTGATCTTGCTGAAACATCTTGTGCAAAAGGAAGAGTTAGCAGTAAGACTTATCTCAGAATTTCAGCAGTTTTGTTTTTTTTTTTTTAAGGAAAAGAGAGGTTTCAGAAAGGAGCTCTCCGAACTTGAAGAGTTACAGGTGTCAGTCAACACTTAGTCCTGGTGTTGAAGTAGTTCTGAAAGTAGCTAAACTTTAAATTGGCATGGAGCAGGTGCCTGCCTGTGAGCCAGATACAGCTCCCAGGGCCAAGTGGAATAATTGAATGAAAGGTGTTCAGTGAAGGTGTTCAGTGGATTGTCTTTCAGACACAGCAGTGAGTACAAAGCACTTGCTTGATAAATAAGCCCTGGTGCTTGGTTCATCATCTGTACTGACCCACAGACCAAGTTCACTGGAGTTTAAAGTGCTGTGTTTTGGGGGAACTTCTGTCCAAAGATCTTTACAGCTCACTAATGTGAGTGTTTTTCAGCATTTCTGTTTAATATGGAAATATTGCCTCCATTTAATGGAGGTGGAGTTCATGCCCCAAAGTCAGAAAACTCACCTGTGGCAGGGATAGGAATAGAATCCAGACTCTATGATTACTTTTTTTAAAGTCTGTTTTCATTCCTACATTTGACACCAGACCATCTGTGGTGTCTGTTTTGGTGATGGGGTTTTTCAGTTATTATTTTATTAGGCATATTGACTATTTAGTTTTACAGTGATGACTTCATTGTTCTGTTCTTCAGTGGTTTCAAAGAGAAATGTGAGTGTCCCCCTTTATTAAGCCAATCAGGATTGAAGGCTGCTTAGCAGTGCCTCAGTGGGATATTTCCAGTTTGGACTCCAGGAGTTCTGTCTTTGCGCTGTCACCAACTGGTGTCAGCACAGCAGGGTGTGTTACTTAGCAGCAATATGTTAATATTCATCATATTTTATGTCCTGGTGAATCTTGACTTTGCTCAACATGAATGCTGGTAGAAAAAATGTGTCCCTGATCCATGTGAATTTACCAGACTGCAAACACATGAAACATGGGTTTTTCTCACCAAACACAGACGCTTGTTGAGTACAGGTCGAGTCAAAACTTCCTTTGGAATAGACTCACACTCATGCACCAGAGGCTTCAGTGTCTTCAGAAAAGAGCAAAATGTAGGTAAATTGAGGGACGTGAAGTAATGTAGGAAATCCTTTACAGAAACTGGCTTTGTGTTCATATAATGATTGTGTGAGCAGCATGTGGGGAAACCAGTTCTGAGAGCGAGCAGAGTGGTTGGAGTGAACTTCCACCCTCAAACCTGTGTTCCAAACACACTAGAATTGGGGTGGGGGTAGCAAACAAGACTCTTTGCTTGTGGGTAAACACAGAGTCCAGTTTTGCAGCCTTGGAGAAACAAACCCAGAGCTTTACCTGGGGAAAGCCTGTTAAGCCCATGATATTCCTGAAGCTGCAGATGTGAGAGAGCCAGAGGGAATGGCTCCCACTGGGGATCCAAGTCCTGGTCCATAGGAGCTTTTAGTTTCACTGAAGTATTTGATAGAGATGTGGTTTAACCAAACTAATATTGATCTGTGCTCTACTCTTAGCATAGCTATGATAACATAGCAATGTTCTGTTGCAAAATAAATGATAAACTGTCACAAATATGTTAAAATCTGTGTCTGTTCTCCATATGACTTTACTGCCTTTGGTGTGAAGGTCACATAAAGCCAAGTACATGATGTGCACACGGGAACTGGCAACCTGGAAGACATGGTGCTCTTTCCTTGCTGTCCTGTCATTTACCTGTTCATGGCAAATCCCTTCCCTCCCTGTTGTCACATCTCGTTGAAATTTCTGACAAGTATTCTACTGGTAGACCATTTCCATAGTCATGGATTAAATGCATCCTGCTTTCTCCATGGGGGTCAAAGTTATGTTCTGGGTTTGTTAAGCTCTTACTTTTATAAATATAACCTTTGAATTTCTCATATCAGTTGTTCCACAATAACCTATAGTTTCTGCAGTCTACACCTACTGTACCATCTGGAGGGGTCATTGTAGACAACATGTGCAGTCTTCTGATAGCTCTTGAAAGCCCACAAGCAGCTTCAGACAGGCTTTTATCAGTCACAGAAATGAGCTGCAGATATCTCAAGAATGAGGAAAATTTGGATATCTGGTCCCAGGCAGACATCTTAAATTTGCTTAAAAATGGAAGTAGCTGGGAATAGATGCTGGGTTCTCTGTTGGTTTACAAAGATCATTTAACAATTCTCTGCTCACTTTTTGGTTCACTTTTCAGTATCCTCAAGTTCCTAGAATCCACTTACATCCCACCTTCCTATATATTAGAGATGGAAAAAGTTGCCAAGCAAGGAGATACCATTCTGGTGTCTGGAATGAAAACAGGGAGTTCTAAATTAAAAGCAAGACTACAGGAAAGTGTCTATAAGGTAAGGAACTTGTGTTCATCCTGAATTTTTTATTATTTAATCTCACAGTCCAGTGTTGCAGTAACTCTCTGAGTTTGCCCTGCAATGTTTGTGGATCTGCATTGTGGATCTCAGTGCTGCATCTCTGCCACAGTGGATTGACTCTGTAGCCCACATCACCCAGAAAGGGCTGGAGTTTGGTGCATGTGCCAGAAATCATTTCTAAACATCTGACAGAAGGCCCTGTGGCAGAGAAACACACTCCAAATGCCTCTGCACAATTTTATTTTTCCTGATATTCATACTATATGTGTAACTAGAATCATAGCATTTGGCCCTTTACACTTTTAAAAAAGACTCAACTACAACACTTCTGTTCTTTTTCTCAGTAAATAAATGACTAGAACAAGGATTGCTCTGTTGAATATACCTTTATTTCCGTCCTGTGAACACTTTCTGGTCCCCAGTTCTGCCTCCTGAGGTTCTGGTTTCCAGGGAAGGGAATGTCAGTGCCACCAGGGTGTTCAGTGCAGTGCTGGCTGCTCTTCCCAGCGGCTCTGGAGACCCGGGATGGTTCTTTCTGTACAACTTCTGGTGACGAGTTTTTCATTTAGCTCTGCAGACAGAGTTGGTTTTGCCCGTAACAGAATTTACAAACACCTGAGAGAGTTTTTGTGGCTTCCAGAAGTACCTGGCATTGTGCTACTGTCAGCTTAACACTGGTCCTTAAAAATCCTTCTCTGGAACTTCATCTCGTGTCTGCAGGTCTGGTTTGACAGATTTCTGCTACCACGGGTTGTACTTCATGTTTCTGCTGAAAGTAGAATTGCCTTGGCTTATCTGACCCATACCTGTAGAAGGTGTTCCACAAAAATATTGTCTACGTGTATGTGACACTAGTCAGGGGACACAAATTGTAGTGCCTGTTAAGAATTGTGGTTTTGTTACAGCTCTGCCTAATTGTGCTGAATGCATGTGCTTGCTCTACATGATATCACTGACTTTTGGGGGTTTGAATGCTTGTAGCTTGCTTAGTTTTCTGGTTTAATATTTATATTTCTCAATTATTTTTGAGCTGATACTGTGAGTGAAAGTGAAATAATATTGTTGTGTTTGTAATTTTTTTCTCTTTCTGGTTTAGTAGTTCCTTTAAATCTCCCCCTGCTGCCAGACTGCACGTTTTCAGTGAACATCCCTCAAACAGCTGTAATAGAATTTATACAATTATCTGTTGTATTCCTAATTTAATAGACCAGTGAGTTGGATGTGGATTCCTCAGTGCAGTTCTAATGGATGTGCTGCCTGGAGGTACCATGTTTTACAGTGGGGAAGATGAATTTCTGGCTGAGTGATCACTGAGCATCTGTCTCAAGTTTTTCTGTATTCTCTGGAAAACAGAACCAAAATGATCTTCACAGAGACTCGATTTTTTTTCCTTATCCTTCACAGTGTGCACAGAGCAGGTCTCTGTGCCATTCACTGTCCCTTGCATTGCCCTGTTGTGACAAAATTGGAGGTGAAAATAAAGAGCCAATTGCAGCAAGTGATATTTTTCACTTCTAGATTCTAAGTTCCTGCTGCATGGTCTGCTTCAAATGAGCTGCTCTAAATGTGCTTACTTTTTGGTTTTTTCTTTTCCCTCCATCGATAGGATGTACATCCTGCAGAAGTCAGATTGCTTATTTTGGAAAACATCCTTTTAAATCCAGTATATGACATTTATCTGCTGGTAGGAACATCAATTCAGTACAGAGTTCAGAAAATGAGGCAAGGGAAGATCACAGGTTGGTTCTGTTCTCTCTTATTTTTATTTTTTAATGCTTTGTGTGAATTATTAAGCGCTGAGAAATTTTTAATTGTATTTAAACTACTTTGTTAATATTTAATACTGTTTTCCTAAGGCACACAATGATACAGCTGTTTAGTTCTTTCTGTCAAAAAATTGGGACTATAAAGAATATACTCTTGCAGATTTATGGAGGATGTGAAGGTGAGGGTAACTCAGAATAGGAGCCAACACTGGCATTTTAGATGTACTCATTTATTTCACAGTCACTGAGAATCTGAATGACTTTCTTAGTTAAATTCAGATTAGTAACTTTTCTAAGAGAAAATGTTTTACTGGCAAATAGATTTGCTCCACAAAGCAGAGCCTCTATAAGGGTGGGTTGGTTGGCTTTATGCCCATTTAAAAGTGTAATGGCTTAACTTATTTATTTTTTTTTCCTTTCTTCTCTTTCTTTTTTTCCCCCTTTTTTTTTTCCTTCTTTCTTGTGAAGCTGGAAATTACTTGGATGTTAGGTCTAAATAGTGAGCTGACATTAGTTGGAAATTGCAGTTTCAAAGACACTGAAGTCTGGCAGGAAGCTCATCTTGTTGTGTATGTGTTGATACAATGACAGAAATGCTGTTTCTACAGGACGTTAAAAATGCGGATTTAATGTGTGCACTCAGCATCAATAGAAAATAATCAGCAATAATTAGCAGCAGCCAGGCACTGACACGCTTTTCTTGTTTCCCGTGCTGTCTTGTTCTCCATGCAGAAATAGCGATGCCATCAGAGCAGTATGAGCTGCAGCTCCAGAACCACATCCTGGATCCCGAGGGAGATCCGGCCCGACCCGTTGCCAGCTTGGACCGGGCAACATCCACTGTCACTGCATTGCAGCAGGGCCACACCAACCTGCTCCTGGTGCACAAGAGTATCCTTCCTTCGGGATGCCTTGCCACCCACAGCATCCTGGCAGGGGACAAACTTGCCACCCTTTGCAACACAAAAACATTATCCCCACTTGTACCAGGAGCCCTGAAAATCAGGAGCGCTGGTGGAGCCATGGGAAACAGCTCTGCTGGGAATTCAGTCTCAGCAGAGCTGTCAGATGCCTTGGATGCTCTAAGAAATTGGGTTGGCAAAAGATCAGTTAAGTCAGGTCTGTTCCCCTCAGTCACTGTGGAAATGTGAGGGGGCTTTATTCCATTTTTGTATTTCAAGCACAATGTTCTCTAGTGAAATCTCTCCAGAATGCTCAGTGCCATGCAGGGAAGTGGGGATAACATTTATTCCCAATTTAAAATTAGCTCCAAGTGGCCAAAGAGGCACAAGGAGCCCCAAGAATAAGCTGATCTTGACTTTTCACTAAACTTTTGTGTTCCTTTACTAAGACTCCAGGTATCCACATGCAGGGGGTGTCCAGGCTGCCCAACAGCACTATCTATGTGGTAAATCCTGGGTATTTAGGTTGGTATTGATTTTCTTGATTGTTTAATATAATTTCTTGCCTTGCTTTTGTGGTTTTCATGGTGTATATACGCTCTTCCATTCCTCGTGTTACTTTTCATAGAAAAGTAATTTTATTCATAAAAGTAGCTGAATGTGAAATAGGTTTAGTACTAAATACGTATTTTCTTTTATCTCTGTATTCAGCAGCTTTAAATAATGAATGTTCATCTGCAGAGTGTGGGCACCAGAAGCCAAATGCTTTTATCCATTAGGGAAAGAGGCTGTTGGTGTGTGCTGTTCAATCTCTCCTGTTTTGTAGGATTTACAGTTCACCCAGGTGACAGATGGGTCCTGGAAACGGGCAGGCTCTATGAAATTACAATCGATGTGTATGATAAATCAAGCAATAAGGTGTATTTGTCTGATGTAAGTTGAAATGTTTATGTATTCTCAGTGTCTGTCTCCCGAATCCTGACTTGCTTTGAAATTAGTTGAGTGGTTTCCTATTTCCACTGAGGTAGGACAGTGCAAAGAGTGTTGTTTCTTGCCTTTTCCTTTTTTCCCTTTGTTTTGTTGCTGCTGCCTTTTTAAAATAAAGCACTCTGGGTGATTCATGTGAAACCATTGGAGTCCTAAGTGCTGTAGAGAGAACTGGAAAAAACTGGACAATGAATTTCAGGTTTGGATGTCCAACCACCCTCACAGGGAAGAATTTCTTCCTAAATTTCACATACTAGGTACCAAATCTATACATAGTTCTTAAAAACCACACAGAGAAAACAAAATTTAAATGGTTCATTTGCAAGAAGAAAAAAGTAATAAAATTTGATATTTTTAAATTTTAAAGTATTTTATAAAAATTAATAAATAAATTATATAAAAGTATATATTTAATATAATAGTTATATATTATATATTACATATCTTATATAATTTATTATATATCATTTAAATAAATATGAAATAAAATTCATCAATAAAACATCAAAATAATAACATATTATATATAACAACATATATAATATGTAAAATATATAATATATATCATTATATATTATTAAATTTAAAAATATATATTTTATATATATTTTATATGTTATATAATATATAATAATAACATATATACTATATATTTATATAGTATATATAATGTATGTTCTTATATCATTTATTGTATAAAATTTATGTAAATATGAAATAAAATTCATCAATAAAACATCAAAATAATAACAAAATCTAATAAAATTTAGAAATATTGATAAATTATTAAATATTTGATAAAATTAAGTTATTGCTTTTCAGAATATGGAAGATATGGGAATGATATTTTATTTGCACATAATTGCTTCTTGAGCTACAGATCTGGGTTTCAGCTTGGGCTCAGTGTGCTGTTGAGGCAGTGTGTTTGTTCTTTTTTGTTTAAGAATGGCAAAATTAAGAAATTATTGTAATATATAAATTATTGGTAGAAATATTGGTACGTTTCACGTTAAATTCCATGTTGCTGGTAATATAAAAAGGGAAACTTTCTGTGGAGTGAATGCTGTGTCTAAAAGGTAAAACCTTACTGAGAGACTGAAACTTCCATAGGGAAAAATTGCAATCTGTTTCAGCAAGATGTGTTTGAACTGTGTTGTTCAACAATAGTTTTCTCATTGATTTGTTATTGATTTGCTCTGTGTTTATGGCTGTCTGTCCGGTTTTACTGTCATTTACCTGTGGCGATCTCTGTTTAATGTTCTGGTTTTAGAACATCAGAATTGATGCTGAGCTGTCCAAGGAGTACTTTGAGGTGCTGCAGTCATCTCTGAATGGATCATATCATTATGTGAAGGCAGTCAAGGAGGGGCAGACCAGCATTGATGCTGCCCTGACTGCAGTAGTCGATCAGGTACGTCCTGAGCAAAGCTTTCCTGCTTTACTGCCGGGCCGAAAATTCATTCAGCTGTGCAGGAGTGACCTCCCAGGGAAAGAAAACCCCAGAACTGCGTAGTCTGAGCTGCTTTGTTTGAACAGTTTGAGAACCAAATTCTAAAATCTGTACTTGAGGAAAACTCAATTGAGTCAGCAGAGGATTTGTGTAGATAAGGAGTGGGATTTTGGTCCCAGGCGTGTGCCAAGCGCCTGTTCAGGCCGTGGTGCACAGCACTGACCTCTTCTCTCGTGGCAGGTCCTCGTGCAGGCACAGCCCATTCCTTTGGGCTGGGGCAAAGGCCTCTCAGGCTGAGGGCTTGTACACTTTGTTGTGGTAGATCACCAGTGTCAGACCCTGGCCTTGCTCTGCACTCACTCACACTGGGGGAGTTTGCTATTATTTGGTAAGTGATGTTAAATGCTGGAATGAAAATCTACCAAATGTATCAGCCTGCACATTTCTTCCAATTAATATTGATTAACTTTCTGCTGAATGTGTGGCTAACTAGGGCACGTGGTGTGCAAGTGACTTGTTTTGCTTGAAACTTCAGCACTTCAACCCATTTGCTGTGAAATCATTTCAGTGGTTCCTGGAGTAGGATTTGTATGTGAGAAGCCAGGTCATTCTCTGTGTCAGAGAGGTGCTTTTGAGTGGAATGGGATCCAGTGGGAGCTGCCAAAGTTTTCCTTCAGAGCTGCAGTAAGAGTGTGTTGTGCCAGAGGTGGTGGCATTGCAGTGACAGCAGAGCTGTGAAGGCCAGTGACTGGGGGTGAGCAGTGGGTCTTTTGGGCTGAACTTTGTGCTCAGAGTGGAACAAGCAAGGAGTAAAGACAGGTGTTGAGTCTCCAGATTGGTTCCCCAGACACAGTCTCAAAATAGTAGTGAAAGAGTGTCCCTCTCCTTGCTGTTTGCCTTTTAAATTAACGAGGGCACCTGTTTCTCCATGGCAATGATCCTCATTGAATCCAGTAGCACTCCGTGCTGCCAGGAGCTGACTGTTTGCTCACACGTAACACGGTTCACGAGTGACCCTCAGGAGTGTTCCTTTCTCTCCTGAGATGTTTCCAACAACTTGTCTGTACGTGAGGACTAACCATGGAGTGTAGGAAGCCCTGTGGTGCCGTCTGTAATGCTGTGCTCTTGCCTTTGGCAGGATGGAGGGGTTCACACGTTACCAGTTCCGGTGCGGAACCAGCAGGATGTGGAAATCTATGTTCCCATAGTTCTGTCGCCCAGTATCCTGACATTTCCTTGGCAGCCAAAAGCAGGAGTCTACCAGTACACCATCCAGGTATGACAGAGAACTATCCAACTGCAGGGAGTACTGCTCAGGCAGGCACAGTGAGGCCTGAAACCACTTACAGAGTGGACTTTGGATAATCCGGGCACAGGGATATCCGAAAATGTATTTGGAGGAATTTAATGGGATGTTAGGTACAGGAATGAATGTGTAGTTTAAAGAAAGCACCAAGAAACCAACAAATACAAAACCCCTACTGACTTTCACCTCTTGTCTTTCCTTCCCTTTCTCCCCTCATGTATGCACTGCACAAATGTACATGGAGTGGTTTGGAATTACAGGAAACATCCTGGGTACAAAGCTTCACAGCAATAATTAGAGGCTGTCATTTGCTGGAAAGGGTTGGAAGTATGAATTGGAGTGGGAAGTGACTGCAAAAAGGGCATGACAAGGTGAATTTGCAGCACTCTGTCAACCTTGGACGTCAGTATCCTTCACTCACCACACCCCTCATACTCCTAATAAAAAGTTCTAGGGAGGCAAAGGCCTCAGTTGCATTTGCAGAAGGGACTTTTTCCATATGTTTCTTATGTGTGTGTCTCTGCTCCCAAGCTGTCAGTTGTTCCATATGCTTCATGAACCAAATGGCTTGTCTCCCAGTATCCCGTGTCTCCAGTCTAACTAAGGGAAAGAACATTGTGCTTTCCCAACCAGACTCTTATCCCAGGTCAGTGATGCCCAAACCCTGCACTCAGGTGTTTGATGCACAGTTCCTGCCTCTCCCTGGTAGCAAGAAGTAGTGCTGACTTTTGGGTCTGTCCTTGAGTAAACAGTATCCAGAAAGAGGCAGTGACACACGTGGTGTCAGGCTCTTCTCCCAGGTAACAAGTGACAGGACGAGAGGAAATGGCCTCAAGTTGTGCCTGGAGAGGCTTAGATTGGATATGAGAGAAAACTTCTTCATGGAAAGGGTTGTCAGGCATTGGCACAGGCTGCCCAGGCAGTGGTGGAGTCACTGGAAGTGTTCAAAACATGTTTGCATGTGGCAGTTGAGGACACAATTTAATGGTGAACATGGTGGTTGGACTTGATGATCTTAAACGTCTTTTTCCAACCTTAATGATTCTGTGATTCTGTGAAGAGAGTCAATCTCAGAGGGATAAAGCTGCATTCCCCAGTTAAATCCCAAGGTAACTCCACTGAGTTTAGTGCCACCTCTGTACTTGCTATTCCCAACCACGCCAGCAGAGTGTGGTAAAAATTCTTAGTACAAATATGCATTTTCAGTACTTCATCATAATTCTGGTGGAGTTTTCCCAGTAAGGGAAAGTAAATGTTTTTTTGTTTCCCACCTCATTCACAGTTCTATTCTTATCTCACTTTACCTTGCATATGTAATGAAGCATCTCACCAGAGAACATTCCTTCCTGGCACTGTAGTAATTGTGTCAGTATTCTTACTTTACTGTGGGTTTTTTCATTAAAAACATGGGAACCTTTTTCTTCCAACATTTCAGTTAGTTGGTACTTGTAGGAACTGAGCCCATTTGTCCAGTGTGGCCATTCCACAACAGCAGTGGTTGTTGACAGGAGTACACACACACAGCTCCACCGTTGTTCCTGCCTGTAGATCAGTGTTTGCCTCCTACTCCGGAGTTTGTCAGACTGTTTTAAATTGGTGAGTTGACTTTTTCTGAAAACAAGTTGAAAGGGAGTTTTTGGATCTAGCCAAATTCTGTTTATAGCTGAAGTAACTCCCTCCAGATGGTATCAGAACGACTGGAAGGTTTTGCTTTGTCTGCTCTCTGGTTTGTTGTGGTTGCTTTGTTCATATCTGCGCTGGTGAGGTGGGTTCTGCTGCCTTCCTTCAGTCCATGCCTGGGAGCAGCTCAGTGCCAGCTCTGGGGAGTTCAGGATGTGGAGGTTGCTGTGTGCTGGGGAGGCATCACTGTCCAGGGAGCAGCTCAGGCTGTGGGGAGTTATTAGACTGTAATAAGAGCTGGTTTATCCTTTCTCTCCTCAATGCTAGAGAGAAAAAATGTAGTGCTGTGCCAGAATGTTTGTTTGGCAAGGAGATGAGACTTCATACAATAAGAATTGGGTATTTCTGGTTTATGTTTTCTGCTCATCTCTCTGTTTTAATTAAAAATACCTTTACAAAATGTGCAGAACTCCTGCAAGCTTTCAGCCTTTCTCACCACATCTGTGCATCTCCTTCTGTCACACACATTACCTGTTTATCCATTTGTCTGTGTCCGGTGCTCCTTCTGTAATCAGGGAAGGAAGAAGGGAAATGAGACTCCTTTTCATTTGCCTTTTATTCTCTTTTCCTGGTAAAAGTTATTAGCCAAGTGCCTGCATAATTTAGAGTTGCTTATTTTCCACACTGTCCTTTTTTTATCACCTTGTTTGTTTTTACTTTAATTATGAATCAGGTTAAAGGAAATGCAGAGGAAGTTAAAGAAATTAAAACAATATACATTAAAAAATTGCTCCAGTGTTCACCCTTGTTCTACTCTGATGGAACTTTGACATTTATTTTGGAGTGTCAAAGTCATCTCTTTTTTTAATTTGCTTTAAACATTTTCTCATTATACCTTCCTGCACAGTATTTGTCTCAATAAGCATTTCCTATAGCTCGTAATACTGATGTTTACAATCTGCATGTTTTACAGCATTTAGTGATTGTGGTTCCCCAGTAACTGGGACTGCACAGCCTGGAGGACAATACTCTGTGCTGGCAAGTGTCTGTGGCCCTTCCCTCTGTACAGGAGGACCCTGCAGCAGATCCTGCCCTGGCCTGGCTGCCAGGGGCTCCTGCAGTGGGGAGTCCTTTGTGTCTCTTGATGTGACCATTGTATCAAGTAGCTGGTTCTCACCCTTCTGTAGAAGAATTTCACTCCCTCATGGAATGACTGACCTGTTGCTGGAGCAGCACTTTATTGAATGGCTGCAGGTAGATCTGCTGATATTCAGCATAAAAATAAAGAAGTATTGCCAAGAAAACAGTGACCTTTTTTCCTCCCTTTTTTCCCCTGTTGCCTCATTCCCTCCCTGCCTCCCACTTCCTTTTCTCTGCCCTTTAGATCCCTCCACAGATCCCACTGGAAGAAGCTGGTAGGTGCAGGGTGTCAGCTTAGCAGCTCTGAGGCCCCAAATGAGAGCAGAGAAGCAGTGGGAGTTTTGGGGAGTAGGATTATCCCTCTGGTGTGCTGGTCTGTGCTGTGCTGTGCTGGCTGTGAGCACAGCTGGGAGTTGGGAGACTCCCACCAGGCTTGAGCAGCTGCAGGAGGGATGGTTGGGTTGGCAGCACTGGTGTGTGCATGAAGAAAGCTGAAATTCAAGTGAGTGAAGGGTAGTAATCTTCTCATCTCTCTCTTGTTTCACTTCGCTTATTTGGAAGATCTGAGGTGTTATTTTATTTGTATTTCCCCATTCTCAGTGTGTTCCTGGTTTTCATGAAAGACATTCACAGGTGTGACAGCAAAGAAATGTGAGAATCATATACTTGATAAAATCTTTGCAAGATTTTCTCTCTCTATTCCAGGCTCGAGGTGGAAGTGGAAATTTCAGCTGGTCCTGTTCTAACCAGGCTGTTGCAACAGTGACAGTCAAAGGAGTAATGACGACTGGCAGTAATACTGGGATCAGTGTTATTCAGGCAGTTGATGTCCAGAATCCCTTGCATTATGGAGAAATGAAGGTAAGGCTTCCTTTTTTCCCTGATCACTGAGGATGCCATAGGCATTCCCCTTCCGAAAGGTTCCCAGGACATTCCCCTGCCTGCCCTGTGGAAACTAAGGGAAACTAAGTGATGAGTTCAGTTTGTGCTCTAGGGGTCCACTGCTCGAACTTCACTCCCATTTTTGCCCCTTCCTGACTTCCTTGTTGGAAGTTTTGAGTGCAAGGAGGAAATGGTAGTTTACTCCTGGTCTGGCCATCTAAGCAGACAAGACAAACTTAAAAATGCATTCTGCAGGGTGAGAAGTGGGTGTTTTCCCCTGATATAAAAGGATGGCAGATACCAGGATGTGCAAGGAAATTCCCGTCTGGAGAAGTGCCTGAAGTGAGTACAGTGCCACAGAATCAATCCTGAGACCAAGGCTGGCCAAGAAAAGTAGTATTTTAGGAAAATTAGGAGAAAATGGCAGTGGAAGACGTAGCTCCCAAGAGGGATTTTGTGGTCTTTCTGCAAATCACCCCCTGTTCTTAGGATTTGGTCGTGGTGATCAGGGTGTGTGAGGAGTGAAGAAAATCCAAGAGCAGCACATGGAATGGGTGTGCAAAGGAAGGTGAAGAAGCTGCTCTGGTTAACACTCCAAATCCACAATCTAAAATATTTTTCTACAGAGTGTTGCTGATTTGGAGATATCTTCTTCTATCCTTTGGACACAAATAAATTTCCTTAATGAAATTCTTGGCAGGCTTTTAAGAGCAGCTGGATCTGTAACATGATAGAATACAAACTACAAGTACTACTGTGGTGCATATTTGCTGCTGGGAAGCAGCACTACTCTGCTGCCTTCACAAATGGAGGATTTTAATCTCTGCTTGAACTCTGTGCCTTTTGCAAAGAGCTAAACATGGGAATGGAAATGTGACAGTCTTCAACACAGAAGTGTTGAAAAATGTGTTTGGTCGAGTCTGTCCCATAATGAAGAGGGAACTATGGAAACAGATATTTTTCCTACATTTTCCCCCCTTCTTTTCTTTTTATCAGTGTTTTTAGTTTATGTGTTTTGGGAAAGATATTTCTAACTAAATTTCATTTGGAGCAGCTTCATCTACTATTGCTGGGTTTTTGAGGGGCAAGTTAGCTTGGGGTTTTGCTCAGAGTATTTGTCAATTCTGCAAAATGAGTTTGAGAGGTACTAAACTTCATCCTTAAAATAATGACTGAAATTCTTAAAATAGTGGCACGAATTAAAATCTGTTCAGAATTTAGTTTACAGACTTGCTCTGAAATAATTCACTGAACAACCCAGGGTACTGGATTGCACTTTTTAGCAGTGCAGCAGTTATAGCAAGAGAGAGAAGAATGAAGATTTTTCAGCTAAAACTTGTTATCCTCAAGCATAAGTCAAAGCCTGAGGACAGAAAAAATCCTTGTGTCCATGTGAGCTTTCAGAGCAGTGTGTTGCACAATCTGAATAGGTTATTTTTGAATTCCTTTGTTCTTGTGTTAGGAACTGCTTTCTTCACAGAGTAACTGCAGAGTTCTGTTTACTGACCTGGGTGAGCAAGTTTAGTAGTAGTACTTTTAGGAGTAGTCAATCCACACAGATTACAGCTTTAACTCTCTACCATATGGTTTGGTGTCCTGAAGCCATTTGCAGAAGATTAGGTAGTTAAGATGTTGCAAATAAAAGCTTTGATCATAGTGATTGTTATGAAATATGTGGTCAGTCTGTGGTGGGTTCTTTAATGGAAAAACAAATCAGAAAAACAATGCAGTTAAGGCTTGTTCATCAACATACCAGCTATAGAACCACAGAATCATGGAATGGTTTGGCTTGGAAGGGGCCTTAAAGCTCATCCAGTCCCACCCCTGCCATGGGCAGGGACACCTTCCACTACCCCAGGTTACTCCAACTTGGCTTTAGGCACTTCCAGGGATGGGGCAGCCACAGCTTCTCTGGGCTGTGCCAGGGCCTCCCCACCCTCTGTAACAGCATGGAAGATCTATTGCTGCCAATCTTTTTCTATATTTTGTTGTTGGCCAGTTCTCTGAAGAAGAACAAAGCTGAGTACAGGATCAACAGATGGAAATACAAACCAAGATTACTTGCTGAAGCAGAAGGTTGCTGGATTAGGCAGTAGATGCTTGTTCACTTATTTTAGATATCTGCAAATTACTGTGTGGAATTGTTGAGCTCTGGACATCTATAAAATTTTGCCAGAAGAAATGCAAGAAAGAAGATAAAAAAGCCATTGAGGAAATATTTGGGTCATTAGTTCCTTTAATGTCTACATCCCTGCTGCTGTGAGTGATGGAGGCTGGGCAGCCTTGCTCACTGTGCCAGGTCTAGCTCAGATGTGAAAAAGTCAAAATGTGAAGGTCAGGTTGGGTTTTAAATCTGTCCCAGTTGGTGATGGGACCTCCTGGAGATACTACACAGCCTGGTCCACACCTTGAATCAGCAAAGCAGAAGAGAGAATTATGGGAGGGGCAGTCAAAGGATCACCAAGGTGATGTGGGCTTGGGCTGCTCTGGGCAAAGAGCTCTGAAATGCCTCTGTGCTGTGTCTCTCCCCTCCAGGTGTATGTCACTGAACCCAGTGGGATGGAATTCACTCCCTGCCAGGTGGAAACACGTGTTGGCCAAACCCTGGAGCTGCCCCTGCGGCTCAACGGCCTCACGACGGAGACGGGCGCGTTGATCCCCCTGCGGGACTGCTCCCACCTGCCTCTGCAGGTGGAGGTGGAGAACCAGGGCGTGTTCAGCCCACTCGAAGGTGATCTGACCCCCTCCATGATGTGGAAGTTAAAGGGAGATGTTCCTGTCACACATCTCCTTTCAGTTCTGACTGTTCTGACTTCAGAGGGGGGATCAGAGTGGATTTATTTTGAGGATGCAAAATAAATTTCTACATTTTTATGCAGAACTTCCCTCTGATATTTCTGATGTTTGGGGGACTCTAAAAGCATTTGGCAGTCATTTAGATAATATGTGGTCTCCCCTATGTCTTTCTGCTGATTTAGTATTTTTAACCTGCTTTAACAGGCTGTAACAAAGCTGATGGATTTCTTACGGGAGGGATCCACATGTATTGTGTTCTGACAGGAACACTGATTAACAACTGCTTTGCCCAAATTGTCCATCAGTGCTTTCAGTTCTATACAGACACTGTTCATGGTTTGCCCACAAGGGACTAAGACAATCAGCTGCTTAACCTTGCCAAAGCTCTGCCATTGCCAAGCTCATTTCTTTAAGAAATGCCTCTTGTCAGGTATGTCTGTTATTTTTAAAGATTGGCATTAGTGTTGCTGGGCCAGGTGGACACTGGCACTGTGCTTGTTCTGTGACCTCTGAATTCAGTATGTTATTCACATGTATTCACTAGTTTTTCCCAAGTGGCTTTATATGGAAGCTCTTTCCTGTGCCAGTAAAACCAATCTGCAGTGTACCATCTCTCTGCCTGAGAGGCAGCAGTGTTAAATGTCACTCTGTAGTATGCTGCTGTAGTGTTTGTTTCAAAAAAAATTAAAAACAGACCCCTCCCAAGCTCCAAAGTGTCCTCTAAGTAAGTGAAGAGATTCCATGAGAATACCTTCCCTTGAGCTGGAAAGCTTGGCTAAGCAGGATGACTTTTTGTGCTTAATTACAAGCCACTTTCATCTTATTACAGCAAGATGAAAATATTCAGTAAGAGAGAGGTTATATTAGTTTGTACCAGAGTAAAGACTCGTGTCCTGATCAGGCCAGTGTGAAACTAAAGATGTTTGAAAGATGCTTTGGTATGTGAAAGACAGTAGGGATTGTTTTTACCCATTTGGTTGGAGAACAAATCTCTACTTACTTCTGGTGGAACTGCTTTTGTTGTGAAAAATCATCACAGAACCGTCAATCATAGACTCAGGGAGTGGCTTGGGTTGGAAGGGACCTTAAAGCCCATCCAGTGCCACCCCCTGCCATGGGCAGGGACACCTTCCTCTAGCCCAGGTTGCTCCAAGCCCCTCCAACCTGGCCTTGGACACTTCCAGGGATCCAGGGGCAGCCACAGCTTCTCTGGGCAACCTGTGCCAGGGCCTACCCACCTTCACACCCATGAATTTCTTATTAATCTCTAGTGCAACCCTGCTTTCTGTCACTTCCCCCTTGTCCTGTCACTCCAGACCCTTGTAAAAACTCCAGCTCTCTTGTAGGCTCCCTTCAAAAAGCCACGTTGAACTTGATTAATATACCTGAGCATTGCTCTCTAAACATGTTTTTATATATTTTTAATCTATCTGACAGGAAGACTTAAGCCAACTGCTGATTTTTGCAGTGGAGTCAGAGTGAGGGCTGAAGCTCAGGGGTACACAACCCTGGTGGTGAGTTACACCCACGGGCACGTCCACCTCAGCGCCAGCATCGCCATCGCCGCCTTCCTGCCACTGAGGGTGAGTCTGCTGGCACTGCTGCTGGAGCATCGCCTAAGATGCCTTTAAACGACAAAGAGCAAGTTAATATTATGTAATAAATATGTTCAAAAAAGGAGGTGGGTGGTTTTATATTTCACTGTTGGCCAGGAGCAGTAGGTGGAAATGCAAGACAGGAGGCTTATGGTACCTCATCTTCAGAGACCAGCACTGACTCTGCAGAGCTGAAGTCTAATGCATTTGGCCAGAGCTTTTTTCCCCCAAATCTGGAAAAAACGTTAGTGCAAATGATAGAAATTTGTGACTATAATGATGATTTTACAGTTTAAATATGCTTTTCTGTCAAATATCTTCAAATAATGATGCTCAGCTATTTAAGATGCTGAGATGTCCTAAGGAGAGCATGTACACTTTCTGTTCTGTTGTTGGCAGCAGTGAGAGAGAAGCATAATCTTTCCAATTAGGAATTTTTCATGTCTGTGGTATCATTCACATTTATTAGCAAAACCCCTTGAGGTGTTGTAAAGCTGCTTTTCATGTATAAAGTGAAATGATGCTGGGGTACCTGACAGAGCCAGGTCATGGTGACAAGCAGGGTGGATTAAGTGCATTTTTAAAAAAAATAAGCTGTGCTCAGATGTCTCAGTGAAGAACTTCTCTTTCTTTGAAGTGTAGAACAGTGATTTCCACATTATTTTCCCTCCTTTCTGTAGAATGAAATATTTATGATACCTAGAAAGGGAAGGCAGCATTTTTCTGTCAGACATCTATTAATAAATAAATTACAACATTAAAAAGTGGGAGAAAGATAAACAGTCCAAGGGCAGGCAGACACTTGAGACTAAATCTCATCGGTTTCTAATGGGATTTTAACTTTAATATTACAAATACAACCAGGGAGTAAATGGGAGGAAAGAGGAACATTTATGCCAACCCTCGCCTTCTCTCTCTTCCTTTCAAAGTGCACCTATGGAAAGAACTGAATTTTGTTAGCTGCTCTTCCTTACTGAACACTGAAGTAATATGATGTTGTGAAACACAAACTACAAATGGTTTTTGTGTATTAAATGTCAGGTTAATTGCTGTGATGATGAACAGCACAGGCTGCCCCACAGGAATACACATAAGTGCAGAATTTGTAAGAGAGGTTTGAAGTAAAACTTGTGTAGGAGAATAATTACATACACAGAACTGTGCTGGAGAGAGCACTGTCAAGAGAAAGTACAATTTGACGTTATTTCATTCATTTAAAGTACTGTCTATTTAAAAGTGTAGCAGAATACTCTCTGTGCTCAGAAAAGTATATTAAGGGTCTTCTGCTCTAATTTTTCATGAAGGAGATGTGATCAGAATGCAGATAAAACTTTCCTTTGGATCCGTGCATTCCATTGATTATAATCCAACTGGGCAGAATTCCTGTAGGTGATGGTAATTATTTTGGTGCAGCTCTGTTCTTGTGTAAATAGAATTATTAATTTGTCATTATTCATTACAGGCTGTGGATCCACCATCTGTTGCTTTAGTGACTTTGGGTTCCTCCAAAGACATGTTGTTTGAAGGAGGACCTAGACCATGGGTCCAAGAACCTTCCAAGTTCTTCAGGAACATCACTGCTGAGGATGCAGAAAGCGTTTTCCTGTCTTTACTTGGCCCTTCTACTTCTCAAAACCACAACCAGCACTGGGTTAGAGTGTCGTGCAACAGCCTGGGAGAGCAGGTAGGTGCCAGGAGGTGTTTATGTTGCCCTCCGTCAAACACTGAGCTCAGGCAGCTGAGAACAGGCTCCAGACAGATTGATGGTACCATATAGCTGTTATATAGGAGGTTGTTTTTATAATAAGCCAGTGAAGAACTTGGATAAGTATATTGTTTATGCATTGTGATGCTGGTGCAGGTTTTAGAGTGAGCATTTGCCAGCATTATGTTATGAAGTGGTTTATGGTGGGTTTATTGCAGTATAAACCCAAGTCATGGAAACCTTATGTTGTGGGATGCACTAAACATCCTGATCAGTGCAGCTTCAGCTTGCATAAGCAGGATCAGAGCAGAAGGTTACTGCAGCAAGCTGCCTCTTCTGTCTGACCTGCTCCTCTTAACCACATTACCTTCCAGGGTAATTCTGTTTATTCTAACAAATGACAGCCATAGGAATTTACTGCTCTGCTATTTGTGCAGCCTTTGTGAGCGTGGTCGTAGTCATTTCCCACCTGGTCTTGTTTTCTCCACCATGCAGAAGTGATTTATCCTGCTTTATTCATCTTCCCCAGTCTGTAAAGCATTTAGCTTTGATTTAATGTTTTCCTCCTGCAATTCTGCAAGGCCTAAGCATTTTGGTGGGGCTGCCAAATTCCACTGACTTCCTCAGTGAAACCTCTACAAAGCAGAGCTATTTCTGTGAGTGCAAATCCATAAAGAACAGCTCCTGTTGTTGATGTCTGGACTGTGTGTGCATTGGCTGGCTGGCCACAGATTACACCTGCATGGTCTGCACCACTGCATTAGTGGATGAGGGAACCAGAGCTGCCTCAGCCTGCTGGGATACCCTTCTCTGGCTTTAGAGCCACTTTGTTTTGCTGGAGGCTAAAAAAGGAATGTAAAATAAACGGCAAGATGTTTTTAAACACAGTGACGTGACTATAAATATTGTCTTTTGGCTGTTCTGTTCTCACTCTGTAAGAAGAACACCTGCTGTTTCCATTTTTAAGTTACAAGAGATTTGTTGTGAATCAAGTTTGGTAGTAATGAGCAGGAATACCTAGGAAAAGTTCCTAGGAATAGTAGGATAGTGGTATAGAACTGTGCTTGAAATATGCACCTCCTTTTACATCTTCCTGTGTCTTAATGGTGCTGTAAATCCCCAAGAATCGTATTTTTGCTTGTTCATTCTGACATCAGAGTGTAATTGAGGCCTGTGGAAATAGAACATGCCTGAGCTCTCTTTCCTCATTTTCCTGTTTCCAGGTTATTGCCCTGACAGTTGGGAACAGCCCCACAGTGACCAACCCCTTCCCTGTGGTGGAAGCTGCTGTGGTGAAGTTCATCTGTGCTGTCCCTTCCCGGCTGACCCTGATCCCTGTTTATGGCAGTCCCCAGCTCGACCTCTCCTGCCCTTTGCTGCAGCAAAACAAGCAAGTGGTGAGAGAAGGGAGGTGTTCCTATAACAGAAAGATCAGTGGTGGGACCTCCACGTGTGAAATAAAGCAGCTGACCTGCTCCAGGAGGGGCAGTGCTGGTGTCCCTCTCTGCTCCTGCAGTGGGAGAGGTGTGGGCAGCAGGGCCAGGGAGGGGATTCTGCCCCTCTCTTCTGCCCTGTGAGACCCACCTGGAGCTCTCTGTGCAGCTCTGGGGCTCCCAACACAGCACAGATGTGGAGTTGCTGGAGCAGGTCCAGAGGAGGCCATGGGGATGCTCCCAAGGCTGGAGCCCCTCTGCTCTGGAGCCAGACTGGGAGAGCTGGGGGGGTTCACCTGGAGAAGAGGAGGCTCCTGGAAGACCTGAGAGCCCCTTCCAGGGCCTAAAGGGGCTCCAGGAGAGCTGGAGAGGGACTGGGGACAAGGGGTGAAGGGACAGGACACAGGGAATGGCTTCCCACTGCCAGAGGGCAGGGACAGATGGGATAATGTGGAGAAATTCTTCCCTGTGAGGTGGGGAGGCCCTGGCACAGGTTACCCAGAGAAGCTGTGGCTGCCCCATCCCCGGAAGTGTTCCAGGCGAGGTTGGATGGCACTTGGAGCAACCTGGGCTAGTGGAAGGTGTCCCTGCCCATGGTAGGGGGTGGGACTGGATGGGCTTTTAAGTCCCTTCCCACCTAGATCATTCTTTGATTCTGTGATTCTGCAGTGATCATTCAAACAGGTGCATAAAGGGACCTACCAGAAAATAGGAATATACCTCTCAAAGCATTTGGATTGTGGCTTCTCACCCAAGTGTCACAGTGAGGAAGCCATTCTGACTTGTGAGATAAAATTAGTTTTTATTTAAAAAAGGAGGGGGGAAATATTTCCAGGAGCTCTTTCTGAGGAAAGTACTTGCTCTCTATACCACTTCCTTGTAATCTAACTGTTCCACTGAGCATGTAGAGACATATTTTACCATCTGTGTGTGTGTGTCTTACCAGCAAAGGCACAAACTTTGCTGATGTGAAGATCTCCATGGAAGCACATACAGTGACATCAGAGGTGTCCAGCTTTGCACCCCTGAGTCACAGTCAATGGACAATGCATATGTGTAGGGAATCATGCTTGAAGAACTTTGCTATTTTATTTTTATTCTGTATTCTCTCTCCTGAGGAGGGTTGTCACGTGTTGGCTGCTCAGTAAACAGTGTTTTGTCATGTTGATATTTCCAGACAAATATAAAATCACCCTCCTTTCCTAAAACTACAGTGCCTGTTTAGTTGATGAATCATTTTAAGTAGCTCCTGTGTAATAACAAGATGAGAAGTTTTTTGTGTGACTTCAGAGCTCACCTGCCTTTCTGGCTCCATCACGTGTCAGTTCAACCTCCTTTGGCACACTGCTCTTGTAATGCATTTCACAGCACCAGATTGGAGCTTCTCACGAACAGCAGTGTTCTTCATTATTTGTTTGAGTTCTAAACGATGTAGTTGAGCTGTAGTTCGACTTTGTTGTTGTTGGTTTGGTTTTTTGTTTGTTTGTTTTAAGGTAATTCACTGGCTAAAAAAACCCCATCCTTCAAAAAAACCAAACCCTTGCAGTTGAAGTACAGCTTAATGATTTGCATTGATGGCTCATTTTAATGAACATGCCTCATGTAATGAGTGTTACAGTAAATCTCATGGAACTCAAGCATATGTTTTGATGATTAAGAAATCCTCTTGTATCTGTTCAGTTCCAAATATTCCTTCTTTTTCAGGTTCCTGTCTCAAATTATCGCAATCCAGTCCTGGATTTGGCTGCCTATGACCAGCAAGGCAGTAAATTTGATAACTTCAGCTCTCTGCATGTTGTCTGGGAGTCAACAAAAACAGCCTTTGCTCATATTGAGCCTGATATGCCAATGGAGCTGATTCTGAAGGAGGATGGGAGTGGTCAGAAGAAAATGCACGGTATGAGTTGGTTTAGATGAGCATTCCATTGTCTGAAGAAGATCAGGATTAAATCTGTTTGGTAATAACTGAGCTTGATTAATGAAATTACTGTAATCTGCAGTCATATTTCATCTTCTCATCAACATACAGTTTTAGTGTGTGCTATTTTGGGGGTGGGCAGAAAAAAAGAATCAGACCTTGTCTATTGAGAATGGTACTAGAAGAGCTAAGCAGTTTATTTTTCACCTCTGTTGGATTGTAGGCTTGCAAACTGTTGTAGTTCATCGTGAGTTTGGGACAGCTGCCATCTCTGCAACTGCCACCGGGTACCAGCCATCCCACCTCAAGGCAGCCAGAGTGAAAACACAGGTAACAGAGCTCTGGGTTTTGGTGCCATTTTCCTGTGATTAGTGCCCACTGGTCCTGAGGTGTATTTGTTTCCTTGGTGCAGAGCAAGGTACAAAGAAAGCAGCTCCATGGCTGGTCCTGGAGACAGGGTCATACAACTGCTTCTATTCTTGTTTCTGGCTTTTTCTGCCTTCCTCTGCACTGGGTGCTGCTTTCCATAGCAAATACATCCAAGTCCTTGGGAGTTTTTGAACCATCTGGGCAAGGGGATTACAAAGAAGTGTTTCAGTTGGTTTTGTTTCTCGTCAGGTTTTTTTAATGAATTGGTGAATCTCTGCTGCTTGTCCTTCACTAAAGCAACCATGTGCTTCGTGCAGCTGTCACTGGGGAAAGCAAATGGATTATTGCCACTGCAGAGCTGGGTGGGAAAGTTCTGCATGAGCAAAGCCAAAGCTGACTGATTCCTCATGTGGACCATATGTTAGTCTGGGCTCTGACTAATGCTCTTTTTTTGTTTCCTGAGAGACTTCTCCTTTGTACAGTGCCAGCCATAAGCCCAGGCTCTCATTTTACAAGTCATTAGCCACTCTCTGAAATACTTTAGTTTGAACATACTCAGCATAGGGGAGAAAAATGGCAAAAGGTAGTGATGATGAACAAAGGGCAGATGTAAACAGATGGCAATTTTCTGTTTATGTCACTTTTTCAAACTGAATGCCAAGGCAGGTTTCAGCCTGTGGAATAACCTGATGTGCACAGTAACTGACTTCACATACCCTGCTTCCTAAACTGAATTTCTGTTTAATTTTGTTAAGCAAGATTTAAGTGGGTTTTGATGATATGCAGTTCTGAATCAGATACCTTGAGAACAGAGTTGAGGCAAAGAATAAAATGTGCAGGAAGAGGTTACAGTATTTGACTCAAAGCAGGTACCAGATGGGCATTAGTAATGTGAAATATCCTGTGGTCCACATTCCTGGCAGTGTGGCCCAGGTCTGGCATCTGGATGGTAAATTCTTTGGGAGGAGATCTGCTTTGCCACGTAGTTCTTGACTTTTCAGTGAGGTTTCCAGTCTGCTACTCTTGGGAGGTGTGGTGTCAGTGCATTTCCCCTAAAGAGTTTGGCTACAACTTGGTCAGAATCACGACATTGGAAGACACAGTTATTTTGCCACCGAAGATGTTTGAGATATTTGGTTCTGTTTCTTTTTTTTCGCTCTTAAAATCTGAGTTGTAGTATGGACTCTTTGAGTTCTGCAATCATTTTGTAACTCACCGTGTCCTGCTCTATTAGCCCAATATTCAATATTGTATCTTACTTTTAGGGATCATTAGAAAAGTGAATGCTCTAAATTTTGCCTTGAATTCGGAGAAGTTTGTTGGATTTCAGGGTGGGAAATGGCACTTAAATTCTGATCTCTGTGTTAAAGTTTAGGAGGAATCTTTTCCATAGTTGAAGAGTAGTTCTAGATACCAGTTCTGCCACACTTTGTAGGCTCCTGTGTTGCTTCTTTAAATGAGGTAACTTGGCTGCTTTTTTAGATGCATTGGCAATGGGCTGCTCTGTTTTGCTCTCAAACCTGCCCACACTTACACTTCTTTCTTGCAGCCAAAACCAAAGATCTGGTAGAGGTGGTGTGTTAAAGATGTCTTGATTGCTGTTCCATGTTTGAGTGGAATGCCCTATTATCTCATTAGGGAAAGATGACATCCTTTCTGCATCAAGGAAATAATTCTACTAATGAGGTGAAATGGGTACAGAACAGTAACTTCCTCTAAAAACCATTTTCCTTTTCTAAGCTAATGTTGTTATGAGTGAGAGATGAAACATGCATCTGGTCCAGTGTTTGTGTAGTTACATTTTAGGAAGAATTTCTTTTGGTAGCCTGCTAAGAAGAATCTCAAAAAGATGAGTTAGAAGTAGAAAACTTTCTGTATTAACTTTTATCATTCTGAATGAACTTAGGGCATGTCCTCAAGGTAATATGTCAGAATCCATGTCTGTGCATGTCAGACTGGATTCACTGACCCTGCTGCACCTTCAGGGTGGGGGCCTCTGTCCTCTGTCTTGCCAGGGCTGCAGAACAGGAGGCCGTGCCCTGTGTGTGACCTCACCTGCAGAGGGGGGGTGGCAGCTGAGCCAATCACTAGATCCTGGGGCATTCTCATAACCTGAACTTCTCCAGCTCTGGCTCTTTGTTCACCTGCTTTAAACATCCTCCCTGCATTAACAAGGGACTTGCACTGTTTTCTGCCTCTTTGCTGTAACAGCTAATTGTTTGTTCCAGTATGAAGCTCTGCTCCCAGTGTCTGCCACCATTGAGCTGATCCTTGTGGAGGATGTCAGAGTGAGCCCTACTGATGTCTCCATTTACAGCCACCCTGACATACAGGTGAGGAGTTACCTGCTGCTTTCTAACTGCAGGGGGGAAGCTTCTCAAATTACATAATTTGTGTAAGGAAGCCAGTTTTAGCAGTAGACTAGAAAGATACAGTCTAATTTTGGATGCTTTTCTGGTTTTGCAGGCAGAACTTTTCATCAGAGAAGGTTCTGGATATTTTTTCATTAACACCAGTGTGCCAAACATTGTGAGAGTGACCCATGAGGAGACTCGAGGTGTTGCTTTGGTGAGTGCAGTATTTGGTGATTTGATGCCTTTTTGGTGACCTGGTTGTTGTCCTGCAGCTCCATCACTGTTGGGCATTCTCCAGTCCATGTGGATGGAGAGGCAGTAGCTGATTTTGGATGGTTTTGCCTGTCACAGTCAGGTTCAGGCAGGGGGTCTTTGCACAGGCAGTGTCAGGGATAGGAATTTGTTCCATTACAGTTGTGGTGCACATGTGTTTTCTCTATAAGATGAAAGCCAGTACCAAGTTCTTCACCCACTCCAGTTTTACAGTAAAATGTTCCTGATTTCACAAACACACAATGACAAATAATGTGACAGACTTATTTGGAAGTGTTACACAAAAAATCAGTTGGTTTCTAGCAATACTGGAGTATTTGCTGTAAGCCAATACTTCTGAAACCTTCAAATTCTTCTATCCTGTAGTGCTGTTTCAGGGTATTTTTTATCCCTGTCTTTCATCCTGACTGTGTGAATAAATATCTATTAAAGAGTTTATTTCTGGTCTCCCTATTAGTTTTGAAATGCACTTTTCCACTGGAAGATGCAGCTAAACTACAGTTACTCTTGACTTCATCCAGGCCCAGGATATAAAACGCTTTCTATCATGAACAACAATAGAAGGATATGTTTGCATTGCTGCTTTCATTAGACAAGGATTGAAAATGACACAAGTTGCTTTAAAGAGTAGCCTTTACAAATTTATAATTTACAGATTTGTCCTGTAAGAAATAATGTTGATGAAGTTGTGAAATAATGATAATTAAGGTGGAAACTAGAAATTTGTGAAACATTCTGATTGTCTCTAACTGTTGCAAGTGTGAAGGCACAACTCAGCAAGGCACAGAGGTGGGGGAAAAGTAGAAGAGATGAGCTGCTTTTTGTACATAGTGCACTGCTTAAACTCTTAATAGTTTAACCCTCATGGGTTTAGCAGTGCTTTAGCTGATGTACACAAGATAAGTCCACTGCTCTCGTCTGAAATAAAGGAGTGGAGCAGTGACAGCAAGATGGGCTTTGAGAAGTATAAAAAGAGATTTTATCTACCCCTCAGATTAAAGGAGAGAAGACCACACTTTTTAACACATTTTAAAAAAATACCATCCCTCAACATTTTACAAATTTGTTAATCCTATGTGCTGTGTTTGAGTTAAATCCCATGGATTTTTCCATGGAAGGCAACAGAATGGTGTGTCTGGGAAATCAGCAGGCTCCAGGCTGGTGTGTCAGGCTGTGCCAGGCAGGTGCCAGAGCAGCCAAGCTGGCAGAGGATGATTTGGCAGTAAGCTGTTCTGGGAAACTCAAGTTATCTGGAGCAGCGATTCCCAGGCTTTGCAGGGCTGCCAGGGATCAGTTGTGTCCATCTCCCTCTGTGTTTGGCACAGAGTTCTCTGGGCCTGGGTGGCAGCAGGAGGAACAGTGTTACCAGTGCAATACCCCTGTGTGCTGGGGAACCAGTGGGCACCACTGGGAGGGGAGAACAGAAGGGGGAGCTGGGACAGGAACAGTTTTTAAAAGTTGCCCCTCTGGCCCTCAGCTGGTTTCCTTCTCTGCTCTCCCAGCCCAGCTGAGCTCCATTCCATCTCCCTCCCTGTGGCCTCCTCCCTGCTCTGCTTCCCAGGGCTCTGTGTTCCAGCCCAGCACTCAGGGAGCTGCTGCTGTTCTGCAAGCTGACCTTTAGTAAAACCTCACATCCCCTTCTCTTGAGAGGCAAAAGTGAGAGTGGTGCCCTCAGAGCACACAGTGTCAGCTCTGCCACCGCTCCAGCTGCAGCTCCTGCAGTGCTGCAGGTGATGCTGGGACTTGTGTGGAGCTCCTCTGAACTGGGGCCTGGCTGCTCCCCAGCCCTTGGGCAGAGTTCAGAGCGGGACACCCAACCTGTGCCATCCCTGCCCAAAGGGAAGGTGCCTCTGGAGGTGAAGAGAACACCCTGAGGGGCTGGGAAGGTCAGGCAGGTGCAGGAGAACTGCAGAGGTGCTGAGTGAGGGAGCATGGCCCTGGGAAGGCTGTGGAGGTGCCTTTGGGATGAGTGCCCAGTTCTGAGGGCTGGAGTTTGGGAGCACAGGTCTCTTCACTTTATTCTTGTTAGTGTAAAGCGCACATTCTTTGTCTTCAAAACCAATGAAATAATAGTTGTATTAAAGATATACCTGATTTGTCAACCATCCTCTTCCTTGGGAGGATCTACCACCAGATTTGGCTGCTCATTGGCGTGAAGAGCGTTGGGTAGAGTACGAATACTGCAGGAGGCAATTCCGGTGCTTTATAGGCATAATCTTTGTCCTTGGTTATTTTTTTTCCTTATCATTTTGGTTTTCATTTCACTCCAAAAAGTTTCATTTCTGTAAATGATTAGTTGTGGGTTTTTTCCCCTTCTGATGGCAGAATAGTAACAGGATGCCAGAATGTTCTGGATGAAGATCCATTAATTCACTTGCTGCCCTGGGCTGTTTGCACTGGCTCAGTAGCATAATACTTTTTATATACATTTTACAGCTTTACTTTTAGTTTGGCTGAAGAATTCTTTGTCTAAGGCTTGGAAATTTCTGCATCCAACTGCTTCTGCCTGGAAAGGGATACAAATTTTATCCTATGAGCAACAAACAATGAAAGTAAGTGCTGTAATGCAGTTTTCTTTTGGCATTGCAGGTGCAGCCTCTGCTTCCAGGATCAGTGACTGTAATGATTCATGACTTGTGCCTGGCTTTCCCTGCCCCAGCTAAAGCTGAAATCCATGTGTCTGATATCCAAGAGCTGTATGTCCGAGTTGTTGACAAGGTTGGTGCCTTAGAACCAGCTTTAGTGGCTGATCCAGCCTGCCCTGATCCCGAGTGCTGCTCATGGACAGAGTCATGAGCCAGGGACAAGATGCTACGACCCAGAAACACCAGGATCTCCCTTGTGTCTCTGTCTCTTCCTCCCAGATTTATCCCTTTAGGTTATAAGTGTCTCAGAATATCAGGTGTCTCTTACTCATGTTCTGTGTGGCAGCAATCTCAACTTTTGCATTTACACAGTATGTTAATCCATAATTTATATGGACACGCTCATTTACATTTCCTTGTATTTAAAGTGCACGTGAACAATTCTTTTAGGAGTAGGTTTTGCCCTAAGGTCATTTTCCATATGTCAGGTTTTAAAAATGAACAAAAAGAAAAGTCCCAACTCATTTCTCTTGGCAGCTTGGGTGTGCCTTAAACAAAATAAGTGTTGATATTTCTGGATGTTTTAATTATGCCCTTGCCAGCTGAAAGACCTGAATTCATTTATTTCATTTGACACTAACTCTACTTGTCAGGGATTAGTCTTTAAAATCAGTGCTAATCTAACCTTGGGGCTCTATCTCTCCTCCCCTACTACAAGTGTAATACAAAATCAAATGACAACATTTATGTTATTAAATAAGAACAGTTTAAATGAAAAATGACTGGATGTGTGTGTTTCAGGTGGAGATTGGAAAGACAGTGAAGGCTTATGTCAGAGTTCTGGATGGCTCTAAGAAACCTTTTCTGGCAAAATATTTCACTGTCATGGACCTCAGTCTAAGAGCAGCATCTCAGATTGTCTCGCTTGTGTAAGTTAATGGATTCTTTTATTAATCTGTGAACAAGAATAAGCAAAAAATGAGTAAAGGAATTGGCTTGGAGGCATGATGGCATACAGTGGCTGAGGTTTTATTTATTTTATTTTTGTGAAGTCTTAATTACCTATTAAATGGTAAAAAATGGTTATTTGTCAGGAAAATTGCCTAAACTAACAGTCTGAATTTTGTTGACTGCTGAATGAGACTGAATTCATAGAGTGTAATGTTTAATGGAGCTTTGTGCATCTTGGAAGCAGGGACTTGGCAAATCATGTCAGGTGAAGACACATCTGATGATACCAAACTCATTCTGTCTGTTACTTCTTTCCTTTTCATTTCAGGTATTTAGTGTTAAGGTAAAACACAGGCTGCAAAGAACCATTATCTGTGGAAGGGTGATGGTTACCTTAATTTTACTTAAGCCATGGTCACTTAGCCTTGTGATAAAACTGCTGTGTACTGAGTCCTTTGCATTTGTTCTTAAGTGATTTCCTCCCTGATTTTCTCTGTTCCATGTGTTTCCTTGCTGCAGCCCCCTCAGGGAAGCTCTGGATGACCACACTGCTGCTTTCCTCGTGCATGGCATGGCCATTGGGCAGACGAGTCTTATGGCAACTGTGGCTGACAAAAAAGGACAAAGAATCAACTCTGCTCCCCAGCAGATTGAAGTAAATAAATTCAGATAGATTTTATTATGGTGGAATAGGAATATATAAATTATAGTTAAAGTACAGTAATTAATTTGGCAGAAACAAGATCATTCTGTTCAGAAGTTGCCCAAATGCCAGTCTGTTTAGGATTTCAGTGGCTTTTAACTGCAAGTGATGAGTTAAGTTTTTCTGCATGCTCAATTTACTGTAATTAAGCAAGTAAAGGCTCAGTTTTACACTTGTACTGTTTTGTGACATAATTTATCTGATTGAAATACCCTGAACACAAGTATTCCTATTTCTCTTTTTAGGTCTTTCCCCCATTTAGGCTGCTGCCAAGGAAAGTGACCCTAATTATTGGGGCCACGATTCAGGTGAGGCCTCTTCTGACATATTTTCTTTCTTTTGTAATTTCTGTTGTAAAATAAATATTTCATAACTTGTTTTTCAGCAGTAGATATTCAACTTGACAATTTAGCTGCATTCAGACTGAGTGGACCAACAGGAGAGCTGGGGAGGGACTTTGGACAGGGACCTCAGGGACAGGACAAGGGGAAATGGCTTCCCACTGCCAGAGGGCAGGGCTAGATGGGATATTGGGAAGGAATCCTTCCCTGTGGGGGTGGGGAGGCCCTGGCACAGGTTGCCCAGAGAAGCTGTGGCTGCCCCATCCCTGGAAGTGTCCAAGGCCAGGTTGGA